TTTCAGCTGAGCAGTGATGCTGTATGTCAGTCACATAACACATTTCCATTTGAAAGCTGTCTGTGCACACTTCCTGTCAGCTAATGGACATTAGCTGACAGTAAAACTGTGAACATGTAGGCACAGCTATGAGCTGTGTGGACTCACTCTCTGTGTGAGAAGGAAGCACCAGTCTGGCCAGCAGCAGGAGATGAAGAGCTGCGCTGGTGAGAGGCGACAGACGTCTAAATCTGAGGTCCATGGTCACTGCTGGTGAACTCTCCTCTGGTGCTGATGCTGCTGTTAGATGGCTATGACCTCACAGGTTCATAGATGGACACCTGCGACGAGAGAAACCGATGTTAGTCAGAGGTTCAGTGCATCAGTGTAGTTGAGTGTGTTTTATGTTCGTTTTAATACAACAAATAGAGTCAGACACACTTGCAGAGCACATGTAAGTCCTAATGCTAATTGAACATGTGAAGGTAATGACGTCTACCAGGTTAACTTTTAAATGTACTAAGAAGCAACATTTTTTCTTCTATTGTGAAATTTTGAGCTTGAGCAAATTGAAGCCTCAGTTTCTGAGTGTTGGCTGACAAGAGTATCGCCTCATCGCGTGTCCGACTGCTGTAAGCATCAAGGTTTGACATGCTGTTCAAAGATGCTCTTTCGAATGCCTCGTTGTAATAAACAGTTATCGAGTGACTGTTGCCTTTTTTGGCTCATTTTTTTTAGCTCATGCTCTCAAACCCCGAGAAAGCTGTGCTGCAGTAGATGAGATGTTTCTGATAGACCAGCCTGTCTGACACCAACAACCATCCAGTGTGCAAAGTTACTTAACTCGTCTTTTGTTCTCATTTTGATGCAGGTCTCCTCCACCATGGCTACGTGCCTAAATGCAAAGTGGTGCCGTGTGGTTGGCCGGTGAGAATGTCTTTGCGGTGACTACACCTGCAGGATGCATTTGGCATGGGACCAGGTGAGTCACACAAGTCAGAGCTTTGCTTTTACACTTTTGTTATGTCTTCTTTGGGCCCAGCACAGTGATTTTCTTTCTCTTCCAGAGCCTCTCATGTGGGTAAGTTAACGTTACTGTACAGAGTAATGTATGAAGTTACAAAGCATCAGTAATGGCAGATGGTACAGTCATGTCTGTGTGCTGGTAGTTTGAAACGATGTGAAACACTATTTTATGTCCGGAGGTAAAAACGCATCACCGTACTCTCACAGCTGTTGAAGGCTCCGTCAGCAGAAGTGTTGTGTTGTGTATCTGCACACATGCAACACAGCTGGTGTTGATTTAATTGGTCTGTCTGAGGCTGCGTCCACACTAATGCGCTTTCGTTTGAAGACGTTTTCCCGCCCACACTGAGACGCCGTTTCCCCGAAGGAAAACGCAGTGTTTTGAAAACACTCTTGAAAACGAACACATTTCAAAGCGGAGCTGTCGCAGTGTGGACACTCGAAAACGCAGACTTTTGAAAGCGATGACGCATTTTAGTCATGTGATGCAGTCATGTGACCAAATAAGCAAAGGTAGCACAGCAGCTGTTTTGTCTGACAGCCCTGTTAAAGATTAACATCAGTCTGCACGCGCTCCAGAGAGCTTTTCTTCAACTTCTTTAACTCTCACTCACTTTTGCAACTTTGTACTTTTGTGTTACTCGCAGCAACATCTCCACCTCATTGTGAGTCCATTTAACAAACTCGCTGCTTTTCCTCGACATTTTGCCGACGCTTCAAAGAGCCGGAAAGTAAATAAGCGGCAGACAGAAATGAGGCAGGTCCAATCTTCTTGCACAGGACTGGAACGTAAGTGTTTTTGTTTCAATGTGGACGCACAACTCTGTGAAAACGACTGAAAACAATAGTGTGGACGCGGAGCTGGTGTGGACGCCGTCTGAGTTTAAGGCTTTGGTTCCAGTGCCAAGTCAGGTGTCTGTGGGACACGCTGAAAACATCAATAAATCCCACCTACAACACATCTGTCTCACACACTGGTTCACCAGTTAATCAGAAACTCCAGTTAACAGTAAACACCAGCATCTGCTCTGGTTCACTGAAAGGTCAGTCACAGAGAAGCTGCTCAGTCATTATATTTGACTGTCAGAGTAAGAACAAGAGAACAAAGAGATGATTCTCAACTGGCGAAAACACTAAAAGTCAGCTTTGCTACGAGCCGCCAACACTTCGCCGAGTCACCAGCATACTGGAGGTCATTGCTCTAAGCAGAGATGCCACTAACTCCAGTTCTCCCAGCAAAGACACAAACAAGTTACGAAGCCGCCACAGAGACGTAATCTCTCCAGCACATCCTGGTCTGCCCTGATGTCTCTTTCCATTTGGACATGGCAGAAACACATCACCTAGATGTGGACCGCTTGTTTCCATCAGTAAAAGTAGTAACATCGATCAATCAGTAAAATCAAAGGTTTAACCTCCTAAGACTCGAACTCTTCCACGACATGCAGCATTTTTAATTTCTCTTTGATATTTGGTCACATTGGGACAATTTTTTACTTATTTTTGTTTCTACGAAAAATAAGAGCCACATATGAGGATATTTGTTTAAAATTCTGATACAACAGTTGCAGCATAATGTCCTTGTAAGTGGATATCAGGTTCTTGTAGAGCAAAATTTAGTATTTTGGTCTAAATAACCCAAAATGTGAGTCCACATATGAGGACGCAGGTTCTAGGAGGTTGATTCAACTCCTCATTTTGGAGCAGCAACTTAAAGCTGTGGCCTCAGATTTGGGTGCTAATTCTCGTCCCCGCTGTATCAAACTATATCAACTATAAACCAGCCCAGTGTGACGTTGAGGTCACTGCTCACATGAAGCAGAGCGAACATCATTCAGCCTGGAAACTCTGTCTGAAAGTTAAGAACTGGTGACAAAGACCAGGCTGCAGGAGCTGAGCTCCCACTGGAAACAAGTTCATGTAACAACTGAATTTCATATTAATGGCTGTATAAATGTTAACATGTGGCTGCACTCGCCAATCAAGATGAATAAATATCAAACTCTCTGCATTTAGAAGCTGAACCTGACTCGACCTGCAGCCCTCGCTTACACATCTTAGACATGTCTAAGATAAGTGTCTACGCATTCCCTCAGCAAAAGAAACATCTATTTTAAAATGATTAGTTTAACATCATGTTGTCACACTGAAATGTCAGCTTTCATTTTTACAATTCTTGTCCTTCAGCCTCCTGAGCAGCTCTTTGTCTCTGAGCTCATCATCATCATCATCATTACAAGTAAAATAACTCACTTAGAGGATTTAAAGTTGTGTTTCTAATATGTTTCTAACATATTGCCAAATATAGTGAATGAGGGAAACTCAATGAAAGAAACAACATTGCAAACGTCCTCCTCCAGGACGTAGACAGAACCACACGTCTCTGAAACAGTTTCAACAGAAACTCACATGTCACTGCAGGAGCGCTGTGTTTAAGTGGAGAAACTCAAGCTATTTATAATAAACTGGCAACTAAATATATTTGTGCACACACTGTCCACTGGCATGGATAGCTTGTCTGCATGATGCACCAGTACACATGCTCTACTGCAAAGATTGTCATCGTGTTGATTTTTGCTTTGTGTTTCCTTTCGTTACTTTTCCCGTTGCATGTTCTACAATAAAAAAACAAAAACAAAAGATAAACACAACACTGTGGCACTTGTAGCCCATGAGAGCCACAGCAGCAAGACTGGGACAAATAAAATGACGGTTAAATCAATCAATCAGCTGCACAGCATTCAGCGCAGCTAAAACAACGTGCTGCAGCTGAAACAGGGTTAATGTGTCTTTGCTTAACAAGCAGGCAGGAAACAGTGGGGTCCTCGGCCGCATCAAACAGGAAGCTACAGTGATATATGATAAATGTCAGTTAATGCCAGTAGAATTAACCTACATTATGACAGCACCTGAGATCCAGGCCAGCCTGTGCGATTATAAGTAATTCTCTCCACAGGTGAACCTGGCTGCTGTTTTACAGTCCTCCACGAAACACAGCAGCTTGTTTGTTACTGCGTTTCTTGTGGCGTCCACTGATTCCACAAGACTACAGAAATGCATTCATGACACAAGTGCAGCACAACTCCATTTTTCCACCTTCGCACATCAACATCAAACGTGAGCTCCAATAGAGCAGCGAGGTCATGCAACCAGCGTATGCCCCAGCACACATTAAAATCAGAGAGGAGAGAGGAGTGGTCACAGTGTAGCTTCCTCTGAATTTCCTCATCCTTCAATGATAAAGTGAAACATGAATCCCCATCAGCATCTCTATCCATGCAGATGCACACGGTACTCTGTCAAAACTACTCGACAGCTGAAAACTTTCTGTTTCGGAGGAAAAGAAACCTCACAGCTCTGATTGTTTCCATCAGTTTGACTGAAAAACCCTCTTCCACTGTTTACTGTAAAAGTTACAATTACAGAAAGTCTCACAGAAACAATTCAGAGAAAGTTTGGAGACAATTTCAAACATCTTTGACGCATCATTAAGTGTGCTGTGACAGGAAGGCAGGGAGGAGGCTAAGTGCTGGATTTCCAGTGTTTCTGCAGCAGCATTACTACTGTCTGCCAATAGCACTGTAGCAACACTTTCATGTGCACTCAGCCGTCTCACAAATCACAACAGGCCCATTCTGCAGCAACTCACACCTCAGCTTACCAATCGCAGCGAGACCTCTTAAGCTCTAGTGTATCTGATTTGTTTACTTTTCAGTATTTTAGCAGATCTGTGATAGAAGGTCAAAACAAGAAACGCTTTAATTCAATTATATTACCAATGACATATCTGGAAGCCCAAATGTGCACCTCACAGCTCCCGTTTTACTCTTTTGTGGGGTTTCCACAGCCCCCCTATGCCTGTGTGGATCTTCTTGAGCAGCAGTTTTGTTGTGATGAATGGTGATGTCCAGGATATATCCTGTCTCCTGCTCAAAGTCAAATAGGACTGGCCTCAGCTGCCCCACATCCCACGATTAGATAAGAAAATTATGGATGTGTTTGATGGATCCATCCTTTTTGTTGCTGCAAAATAATGCAAGTATGTGTCGATTAATGAAAGGCACACAGGAACTTGAAGAAGTTTTACAATAACCATCACAAGCCGGGTTTATCATCCAGTCTGAGTCCATTTGCATAGTTCTGAGAGTACACAGTAGGACAATGAGAGTTTCACCAATGCAAAGTGCTCATAATACTCTGGGTTAGCAATACAATGCATTTAAATGAGATCTATGACTTAAAAATAGTTTTTTAAAAATAAATTTTACTACTGAAGGATACAAAGCCCTGTTTGTATTTCCACGTATGTTTAACG